CCGAATTCACAGAAAAGTAAAGATTGCTCGAGGTGACAGCGCCGTAATACTCGGCTGCGTTGACTGATATGGCCTTGCACTCAACACATCGGAAAGGATATCAGAGCAAGCTCCTAGTTGTTCACTCGTAGGGCGATGAGCTAGCCGCGATAGACCTCAGACTTAAGGGCATATTTTTGTCCAACCTAAGGATCCTGTCACGAAAGAACAACGAACCGACGCAATTTATTCTATTCCGTGCAATGACTGTGATAACGAGTATATCTTACGGACCAAACGTCAGTTTGGTACACGTTTGAAAGAGCATCAAATGCGGTCTTCTTTTGCAAAAAAGAAAATTCAGCTTTATCGGAGCACACATGACTAACCAACCATACAATTGGGTCGGATAAGTCTCAAATTATCACCACTAATCGGCGTTACCAAGAGTGCTTTTGTTTGGAAGCTTGGCATATCAACTCCGCCCACGCTCCTTAACTCCAGATGATGGCGGCTTACTTCCTGACGCCTATTTACACATCGTCAGAAAAAAGGGCAGCTAATTAGTGAGCGTATAAAATGACCTCAGTGTAGCACCGTTTAGATCACCCCTGATGAAGGCACTAGACAGAAGTGTCGAAACGTTAAGTCTATGAATTGTAACTTCTCGGTTAAATTCATTAAATCTTTAAACCAGAGTAGTATCAATACCATGTTTGGTTGTCTACCTGGTTGCCATGTAAACTTCGATATAACTAAGATGTATTACCACCAACAATTTTTATCGGCCAGTGACTCTTTTCTTTATGAGAAGCATATTAGTATGGCGAGCCTGAAGGCATTATTTAGAAGACAGAGAAAAATAAATGATTAAGCTGTCTTCAGATGTGCACTTAAGTGAGAAAAAGAGAAAAGAAAAGTACTTCTTTTCTTAAAAAACTTTGGCGGAAACGGCGTGGACCTGAAAGTTCGGGCGGTGGTTATTAAGTGGGCGATCTTAATGAACCGTTAACTAATTGCAACTGACATGTAAATGAAAGTGATAAAAGTTCTGCCCACGTAGTCTTTCTTGCATCCCTAGTGAAACACATCAACTTATGATTCCGAAGAACTCTTCTGGCTAAGCAAGGTTTGTGGTTTGCATGAAAGTTGTTTTTCATCCCGCCTAGACGATCAAATATTCTCGTCCGTCCTGTAAGGTCCTGTTTGGTTGGGGATTGAAAGAGTTAAAATTTTAAACTAATCGTCAAAGTGCTGAAAGAACCTTACACCCTGTCTTTGATAGTGGTGCTTTTCATTCTACTGATTACAAGGCAAAGAAAGCGATCTTTATTGAAGCTTTCTTTAACAAACACTCACAGTTGCAACATTACAGCTGCTGTTGCGTGACTCGAGTGTACATAAATATTCCAAGTTCCACTACAGTTTAGTGCTTGTACTTGAACGAAAGCATATTTATATTACCTCTACAAGAATCATATCTTCCTTTACTTACCGATGCTCCCTTTGCTTTCTTATACATTGACTCAACAGAGTTTATGAAATCGCAGTGGCTTAATTTTTTTTATGTTGTAATATAGGTTAGGCCATTCCTTTCCAGAAATAGTTCCGGTCTGCTTGATCTCCTTTCCGATTTACTCACTCTCGTAAGCGGGGGTTTTTGAAGTTAAACACGACTGTAATTCGATAAAATGTTATATTTCCTGTCT